AGGTGGAGATCCTCCACCCGATGCCATTGAAGTGTTTGTCGATAACTTCTACCAAAGTATCTAGGATCCGTTCCAAGTAATCTTCAACGGTGTGGTCAATCTCCAGATTCACATCGTAGAAGGTGGATCGTAGGATGTCGGTGAAGCCGTCGTCGTCCCAAGTTATCCCATACTCAGTCGCCGGATCCGTCATTCATGGATGATTAAATGTATAATCTCCTTAGCACTTGATAGGACTCTTGAATGCTAGCAAGGAGAAAGAAGTTTCTCTTGCAAGGAGAGAGGAAGCAAGCCCCCAAATATCCTTCTAAAATCTGAAAATAGCTTCAGGTTTTTAGTCAAAACCTGAGAGAAAATTCATGTTTCAAGGTATTAGGAGAAAGGTGTTGGGGGGAGGAACATAAAACTTCACATTCAGGTGGAGAATAATTGGCTGAGAAACGTGGGAAGAAAGAGGGAGGGACGATGGTTTTGGAGAGGAGTAAAGGATTTGATTTGTTTAATAAAGGAAAAAAAAAATCTGATGGGATTTCAGCAAGAGGGGAGTTACAATTACCTGGGCTTATTACATAAGATAGGATTCTAGAATTAGGAAATTAATTCCAGCCCAAGTCCAAGGGGGCCGGCGGCATCAGTGGGAGGGGATTGAAATTATGGAGAGCCATTAATGTGATAGATTTGGATTTGAAGATTTGGAAAGGATATTTTAAATCCAATCCAATTAGAGATTAATGTGGATTTGATTTGAAAACTTTTCAAAAATAGAGTTTTAAATTTGAAAAGATTTCAAAATACAAATTTGATTATTTTGGGGGTGGGATTTAGAACGAATTAAGTCATCCTAATTAATTCAAAATCCAATGGAGGGAAAATTTGAAAACTTTCCTAAAGAAATTTTATAATTTATGAAAGAATTTGAATTTCAAATTTGGGGAAGTTTGAATTCAAAGACCAACTAAATTATGGCAATCCAAAATTAGGAATTATCCAAATTATGCAATGGGGGATGGGAGAGGATGTGGCCGGCGGTTTAAATGGGGTAAGGGCCGACGGCAAAGTGGAGATGGAGACGACGTGATGGTGAAAGTAGGGAGAGGATGAAAATGACGACTAGGAGCAATAAGAAGGAACAAACAAAAAACAAGAGACAAAATATTAAAGATACAACCGCGAGCCCGGACACATCCTGCGGCTGACGGGTACTACGTTGCCCTTTTCCAAGAGACTTCACGCCACGAGCCCGGACCCATCCTGCAGCTGGTGGAAACTCCGACTCCCTCCCATAGGCATTTCACTAACGTTCTTCCCAAAGAACACAAAGAACAAAACACAATTTTTTTTATTATAATTTCATCATACCTAATACAAGAGAAGGGGCCTCTATATATAGGCCTCAAAAGAAATTAAAAGACATCTTTGCCCCTTGGGCTTACATAAGACAAGAGGGTAAAAAAGGAAAATTGCAAAATTAAATCAAAATACACTTAATAAACTGAAATAAAACAAAGTGATCTCGGTCGTCGATCTTTAGCTCCTCGGATAGGCATGGACGGTTGGATGTCCGCATCATTCTCCCAGGGTGGAAAAGACTCGACTCCGTCGAGTTCGCATCCCGGGTGAACGACCATGCTCTGATACCAAACTGATGTAAAACGGGAGCGGCTTTGCTAGGGAGAGGTGGAGATCCTCCACTCGATGCCTTCGAAGTGTTCGTCGATAGCTTCTACCAAAGTATCTAGGATCCGTTCCAAGTAATCTTCAACGGTGTGGTCAATCTCCAGATTCACATCGTAGAAGGTGGATCGTAGGATGTCGGTGAAGCCGTCGTCGTCCCAAGTTATCCCATACTCAATCGCCGGATCCGTCATTCATGGATGATTAAATGTATAATCTCCTTAGCACTTGATAGGACTCTTGAATGCTAGCAAGGAGAAAGAAGTTTCTCTTGCAAGGAGAGAGGAAGCAAGCCCCCAAATATCCTTCTAAAATCTGAAAATAGCTTCAGGTTTTTAGTCAAAACCTGAGAGAAAATTCAGGTTTTAAGGTATTAGGAGAAAGGTGTTGGAGGGAGGAACATAAGACTTCACATTCAGGTGGAGAATTATTGGCTGAGAAACGTGGGAAGAAAGAGGGAGGGACGGTGGTTTTGGAGAGGAGTAAAGGATTTGATTTGTTTCCAAACAAGGGGTTTCCCTTTTGGAATAAATCAAGTAAAAAAAAATCTGATGGGATTTCGGCTAGAGGGGAGTTATAATTACCTGGGCTTATTACCTAAGATAGGATTCTAGAATTAGGAAATTAATTCCAGCTCAAGTCCAGGGGGGCCGGCGGCATCAGTGGGAAGGGATTGAAATTATGGAGAGCCATTAATGTGATAGATTTGAATTTGAAGATTTGGAAAGGATATTTTAAATCCAATCCAATTAGAGATTAATGTGGATTTGATTTGAAAACTTTCCAAAAATAGAGTTCTAAATTTGGAAAGATTTCAAAATTCAAATTTGATTATTTTGGGGGTGGGATTTTTTGATTATTTTGGGGTGGGATTTAGAATGAATTAAGTCATCCTAATTAATTCAAAATCCAATGGAGGGAAATTTTAAAAACTTTCCTAAAGAGAGATTTTATAATTTATGAAAGAATTTGAATTTCAAATTTGGAGAAGTTTGAATTCAAAGACCAACTAAATTATGGCAATCCAAAATTAAGAATTATCCAAATTATGCAATGGGGGATGGGAGAGGGTGTGGCCGGCGGTTTGAATGGGGCGGGTAAGGGCCGACGGCAAGGTGGAGATGGAGACGACGTGATGGTGGAAGTAGGGAGATGATGAAAATGACGACTATGAGCAATAAAAATGAACAAACAAAAAACAAGAGACAAAATATTAAAGATACAACCGCGAGCCCGGACACATCCTGCGGCTGACGGGTACTACGTTGCCCTTCTCCAAGGGACTTCACGCCACGAGCCCGGACCCATCCTGCGGCTGGTGGAAACTCCGAATCCCTCCCATAGGGATTTCACTAACGTTCTTCCCAAAGAACACAAAGAACAAAACACATTTTTTTTATTATAATTCCATCATACCTAATACAAGAGAATGGGCCTCTATATATAGGCCTCAAAAGAAATTAAAAGACATCTTTGCCCCTTGGGCTTACATAAGACAATAAGGTAAAAAAGGGAAATTGCAAAATTAAATCAAAATATACTTAATAAACTGAAATAAAACAAAGTGATCTCGGTCGTCGATCTTCAGCTCCTTCTCGGATAGGCATGGACGGTTGGATGTCCGCATCATCCACACTCCTCAGGCAAATACCAATCAAAACGTGGCAGCAGACACCACCAAGCTCATAAGAGAAGAAGGATACAGATGGAACGGGAAAATCGAAGCAACAACACAACTGCCAAGGAGGGGGAAACCGAAGCGCCAAGGGGGGGAGGAGGAATTGAAGCATCCAAATAGCAGCCAAGGGACGGCTTGATTGCATCATTATATAAGTTTAAACTATTTGATCTCTCTCATCCACCAAAGAAATATCACTCTAAAGTTTAGTCAAAGACCTTTTATAGTGAGGTAGAGAGTTTATATTAATTACTCCGAAAAATCAGTAGTGACCTTCTAAGAATGATGTGCAACCTCTTTCATCCTTTATGGTAGGCAATTATGTAAAGACACATGTCACTTTTTTATTGGTGTTGCATGGAGCATGTTTTAACTAGTTCGAAGACACGTCGCAATGCCTCATAATTCCATCAAGGACGATTGAACAAGCTGGCCCAAGGAGCAAAGAAATTGATATGCAATGGCTGATCAAATAAAGGTATGTACAAAAGTAGAAGTCATAGGTTGGTGGCTAAGGAGGAATGTCATCAAGCAACCAACAGGTTTCCAACGTCGACCAATTGGCTGGTTTGGGGTAATCAACACTAGAGCATTGGTGCAAACCTTTCACCATAAGACGAGCTTTGTAAGGATTAATAGATATAGCAAGATTGTATTTAATGTGAAACACTCACTTGCATTTAGGGGGTCGCATAACTTGTGAGTGGATTCATTAAGAGGAGATGATAAAAGAGAGGCAGTGAAGTTGAGCTTAAGCATTTTTTGGATAATGTTTTTACCTCATGTTCGCATGGAGACTATTGTTGGGTGCAAAAAGAATAAAAAGGTTGAAGAAGCAAGGTGATTTGAGGGCTCAAGAGATATATACTGAGCAAGGTGGGAGAGTCAGTGATAAGCATCTGGAGAGCTATCCTGGTGATTTCTCTCAGAGGTCTAAATTTGGGGGTAGAGTGAATAACAAATTTTGGGGAGGTATGTTAGAGATGCCAAGTGTAAGGTAAATGACGTAGCTGTTATGCATGGGCAAATTTAGTTGTATATGATGGGCAGAGTGAGGAGATAGCTATCCATAGGAAGGTAACTTGAGTCAACTTATTGTTCCTGCATATTGATAGTAGGTGAAGGAATGGACATGAGATTTATATAGGGTTGGATTTAAAGAGTGAGGAGTGCAACTTTCCATATGGAAGTGGACAGAGTCAAACTGTGGGTCTCGCAAATTAAATGCAGGCAAGGGAATTAGGAGTGGTATTTAAAAGAAGGTTGAACTAGATGGGAGCAAGAAATGAAGCAGTACATGCCAAATAGGGTGAGAATGTAACAATAAGAGCATCTTGAGAAGGGTGACAAGCAGTTAGTGGCATAGAAAAGTTCACAATTTGTAAAAAATTTATGTCAAAAACTCAAACCACTTAAAAAAAAGGTCTGAAAAAAACCAATAAGAGACATAGGTCAATCAAATGAAATTTTTTGAGTCCACAAATAACAGCATTTAATCAGCAAACATTACTTACAATCAGCAAAACAAGTGGTACCCCTTACTCCAAGCATACAAAGGAAAGTAAATAGCATTAACGATTAAAGATATAAAGAATTAATCAAAAAATACACTTCATCAAGAACATATAAAGTTGCAGATGATGCATACATCACCAAATGATGAAAATCTTTCCCGAATTACATCCTGTAGTTTATCTTCAGCTTCATCTTCCTTTATTTCTGAAGTAGAAAGTGCATATTAAAAGAAAATCACAGATAAAGAATAATTTGAAGTAATGCGACCAGATAAATACAGATTATATTGTATTAATCTGCAATGCACCGTATCATATTTTTCTATTTTTTGGAATTAGAATAAGCACGTAGGAAGCAAGGTGCAAATGGGAATAGTACAATAATGAATCAAGCACATAGACTATCAAACCAAAACATGTTCAAAATACCAAAAAATAAATACATTAAAATTTCTATCACCCATTCCCTAAAACATTCAACATGCTCCAGAACCAAATCCAAATTTTTAGAATGATTCAAAAAAAAGCAAATCAACTACTTAGGTGTTTATAGATGTCTAAAATAAAATTATCGTAATTTAAATTTCCTCTAATAAAAATTCTAGAGGACAGGCTTGGAGCAGTCTTTGACCTAGAGTTCATGGGTTAAGTAATGACAAAGCCTCTCCGTAATGCAAGGATAAATGGCATAAATCAACCAATCACCAAACCATTTGTTCAGAAAATATTCTACGCATTTAAAAAAGAATAAAAATAAATGATAAAATAAACATGTAAGCAAAAGTAATTGTTAGCAGCTAAAAACTTATATGGTTTAGGCTAAAAACGAATTTATTTCCTATCTAAGTAGAGTCATTAAAGTTGCTCCTTTTCAGCCTTTCAACCATTCAGCAACACATCCAACAAAATTAAGCTTAAAGATGCAAAGTTTACAAAAATTTACTAGCTTAAGTTCAATATTCTGATGTTTTTATGGTTTTTTTTCTTTTTAATTTATGTATCTTTTTTTTCAATTAAGTTTGTGATGCGGACATCCAACCGTCCATGCCTATCCGAGGAGGAGCTGAAGATCGACGATCGATATCACTTTGTTTTATTTTAGTTTATTAAGTGTAGCAACTGTCCACGAGATTCTCCCTCCTTTCCTCTGCTTATTACTTGCTGAATTTCTTCTCATATTTTGTGTGGAAACAGTTGGAATTCCTATCAGATTTTGTGAGAAAAATCTGAGATATTTCAGATTCCCAGTAAAGAATTGTTTCCGATTTTTGGGACGATTTGCTCTTCAAGATCATAGAATTCAAATCTTCCTACCCATTCTACATCAGTTTGACATCCAGCATGTAGGGAAGTAAATAAATCAGTTACCTTAACCTAGTTCATTTGTCAGTCCTTTTCTATTTTTCCAGTATAATTGTCATTATTCTAAATTGTATGATTAATTAACATTTGTAATTTTGTACCATTATTTTGTATTTTATCTATCATGCCATTTATTGCATAAATTACAATTTGCCATAAATGGGAACTGTCCTATAATTCTTATTATTTATTTCGAGAAAATGAACAAAATTGTCCCTCAACTCTTTATGAGGGACCATATGAGGGACCAAAATGGTCACCAACTCTTTAAAACGAGATATTTTTTTCTACTAACATCCAATGTTGGAGTTAATGGTATTAAATGTGATGGGACTTTGGTCATTTTTAATTAAATATCATTTTAAAATAATTATTTTTTTTCTAAAAAAAATTTATTAAATGTTTCTTTAATAGAAAAAATTAATAATAATTTTACTTTTAATTTCAAAAAAAAATTAGACATATTTTATAAAATATGATAGGTAAAAATATATATGACAGTTGAAAATAACATCTATTTGCATTTGATTTCTCTAAATCAATAAATATCATATTTTATAAAATATGACCAATATTTTTTTTAATTAAAACTAAAATTATCATTTTTTTATTAAAGAAACGTTTCATAAATTTTTTTAGAAAAATTCTAATTTTCTTGAAAATTATATTTAAAATATGTTTAATTAAAAAATGAACAAAATACATTTACATTTAACACCATTAACTCCAGCATCGTCTGTTAGGATCAAAAAAATCTTATTTTAAAGAATTGAGGGACCAAAGTGGTCCCTCAAAGGAGTTGGGGACTATTTTGGTCCCTCACAAAAAGTTGAGGGATCATTTTGATCATTTTCTCTATTTATTTCTATATAAGAACTTTTGGAAACTATACCCTTTCATGAACTTATTACTAAATTATGAGCAATGGATGAACACAAGTCCATAGATCAATTTTGTTTCTTATTAATTATTTCGGAGCTCTTGCCTAGTTTCACAATTACATTGCATGGAGAATGAATTTAAAATTTTGGTGCCTTTATTATAAAATTATAAGGTCTTTTTCATATCTAGTTATCTTAGACGTCTATGTCATTGATGCATTTCACGTGGATAAGAATCTACAAAAACATAAAGGAAGACACACTTACAGAGCCCAGAGACAGAAACTTTTGTGCTGAGAAACCATAGAAGACAAATGGTTTTGCCTAATGCAAAAATTACAATTTATTTTCCATAAATTATTTGCCAAGTATTTCTATGATTTATTTCTGCAGAATACATGGAAAGAATTGAGTTCAAAAGTTCATTGAACACCATCAATTATCAAATTAAATCAAGGATACAAGCTACTACTCAGCATGAACGAACATAGCTTGTTCAGCTAAGTACATGCATCGCATAAACAGAAAAAGAAATTAGGAACTCACGTTTTTTATTCTATGTTCAAATACCCAGAACCAAAATTTTGGTTGGGTTCTCAATTCAAGCATTTGGGTTACCCAAAATAAAGTTCTACTAACGCTTCATATCCTACCAAAATTGTTAGCAATGCAATTCAAATATTTTCGTCCTCATATTTGATCCTTACAACTTCAATTATATAACGAGAGATTTCAAGAATCACCCAACTGATGTGAAACATACATGCAAAGATGAATTGCTTAATGAATTTGCGCACTTAATATTCCTAGAACAAATAATTATATCTTAATGGTGAATTTAAACGACACAATAAAACACTAAGAGCGGTAAGACAAGCTTAGGCCGAATCACGTGCGTAAAAGTTAAGATCAGAAAACAATCAAGTTAATCTAACGTTGCATACATGAATGGTTTCAACAATAAATCTCAATGCTAACAATAAGATTAGTCTCCACAAGAAGATCCCTTAATCAACTTTTTTCAATTTCTAGGTGTTAGCGGAGAAGTATTAACATTATCTTCATGACTCCACAATAACCACAACCGAGGGGTAAACTAGGAAAATAACAGACTAGGAGGGAGAGTCTACCCAGAGAAAGAAGTTCTACGAAGCTCTGGTGGTAGTCTGCAGGTTTGAGAGGAAGTAGATAACAACTGGCGGCTTTTGGGCAGCTGGACAGCAACAAATCCTTGCTGGAGTCTTTGGACAGCAAGCAAGCGGCCTGGGGCAGATTCCGGACAGCAGCTTTTGGTCCTCAAGGATGATGGACAGCAGTTTTCTTGACTCCGAAATTCTGGACAGCAAATTACACCAACTTGGAATGCTGGACAGAAACTGGGAAGCCAGGGACAGCAACTTGTAAGGCTAGGAACCCTTTGGACGGATCACAGGACTTCCCCAGAAGCCTGAGCAATTGCTTGGCGGGGAAAAATCTCAGATTTCCAAGGATTCCTACTGTGAATGGCAGCAGGAATAACCTTGGGATTCACATTAATTCTAAATGGGAGGCTTGATTGGGGGAATTAGGTTAGATCTGGGTGAGGAAAAGAAATTTTATCCTAAATCTGAAAATAATTTCACGGTTTGAGTACAATAGGAGGGAAAACTAATTTTAATTTTGAATTCAAATTAATTAGAGAGAGGGGGCTTTAATGGGAATTAATGGGGCAAAGCCCATGCTAGGGCCGGCGGCATGAAGAGAGAGAGGGAGGGATTTGGGGGGAGGTTTTGTAACTTCCAAATCAATTTATGTCATTTAGGAAAGAGAATGACAACTCAAATCCAATTTGAAATTCAAATAGACTTGGAGTTATGCACTTTCCTAATTTAGATTTGCAAATAAGGAAAGTTTTTGAAATTTGAATTTCAAATTTCAAATTAAGGAAAGGGAATAATAAATCCAATTTGATTTATTTTGAAATTAGATTCATGATTGATACTTTCCTAATATGGGATTCCCTATATGGAAAGAATTTGAAATTCGAATTTGAATTTTAAAAGAATTCAAATTTTCCCTCTCACGCTTGAGCTAAATTAGAAAGTCATCATGGTGATTGAAATCAACATAATGAGGGGGAAATTACGAGAGAGAGAGAGAGAGGGGGGGGTGATGGTCGGCAGCTAGGGGAGGGGCTCGGGTTAGGGAGAATTACAAAGAAAGGCTTTGGGGGAAATGAGGCCGGCGGGTGGGAAGTTTGGGGAGGGAATTTGATGCAAGAAAAAATAGAAGAAAAAGAAAGATAAGAGAACCGCGAACCTTGGAATCCACCAAGATTTACGGGTATTTCTTTTGCCCCACTTGGGCCTCTCCTCTCACGAACTCACTGAGAGATCATCCAAAGAGAGAAAACTTAAAACTCACAAAGAGATCCATAAGCACAAGCTGAATTTTTTTTTTCATATTACTGAGAGATCATATTTTTTTTTTCCTACGGCTAGTGGCTATTATGTTGCCCTCACCTAGGGACTTCCACTCTCCTAAGAACTCCCATAGCTCTTAAGAACAAAATGCATAAATTTTTTCTTAGTAATCATCCATTAACCTCAAATGATGAGGAGGAGGCTTTAAATAGCCAACATATAATGAAGGAAAACAAAAAAGACAAACATGCAACTAGGGCTTACCTGGGACTACTCCCTCAAGTGAGGATAGAAAAGGAAAAAATGCATAAATAATTCAAAATAAAGTCGGGAGATCATGGCCGTCAATTTTTTACTCCTATGATAAACTTTCAAAGTCGGATGTCCTCATCAATAAGTCTAGTGGATGTGCAGTAATGGCTTGAAAACAAATTTATTATAACCATATCAAATTTCAGCAAATATATACTATGGTTAACATGGGAAAACTCAATATTATGGCGTGTGGCCATGCTGGAGTTTGCCACAGGTTATCGCAGCTATGTGCCAATGACAACAAATTCCTCATAAATGAACTAATTAGTTACAATTTAGCTTTTAAATAATGCAAAATATGTACCTTTCTTCCAGATCTCATTTTCCTAATTTACAAATGGGGGTTGAACTATTCCACAACCATTAAATAGTTCTACTGCTACGAAGGTAGGAATATCAAATTAAATTTAAACTGTAGGTTTAGATCAGACTATTTCCAACTGAACCCATTTATGCCCAAGCGAGATCTTAACATATGCTATAATATGATCAACATATCTAAAATCAAAAACAAAACATTAAGGAAGAAATGTATGAGTTAAGCTAATACTTGCAACCATCACGCAACATACAAGAGACAAGAACACATATGTGGGACAATTCATGTTGGAGTGTCTTTCTCCATCCCAACCTGGAATTAACCAAACCAACCCATCCATGCCAAAAGCAAGCATAAGCAGTCAAAGCTCAGGTATAAACAAGAATGTATAGAGGTTTGATTACTTAGAAACCAATCCTGTACTAATTTATAACACAACAGCGCCACACTACGCAAGCAAACTGTGTTGGTTGCTGAATGGCACTTATGATAAACATCAAAGCAGCACCGAAATATCACAACAGCACCTCAAGCCTATAATCATCACTCCCCTTACAATGGTATGTTGGGCAGATATATTCACTCCAATTCCAGTAAACATCAACAATTCCTCAAAACCTTCCGTCAAGATAACTATCAATTTCAGGTTCCACATCTTCCTCTCCATGAAACTGCAAGCAGTGCAACATCTTGATTGTTCTACAGCCGTTGATTTCCGAAGTAAGAAAATTTTCAGGTTGGACCAGTTCAGACCGAGATGTATCTAGTCCAACCAAGTGAAAAACATCGTGTTTTCCCAATCAAAGACTCTGATCCAAGAAACTTTAATGAAAATCAAGATCATGATATTGATTTAAACCCTACAAAATAGCCATAATTGGCAACTAAAACTCACCGTGTGAAATTCAAACCACATTGCATGTAACTGAGTTGCAAAGATTCATGGCTTTCTTCAGAGTTCAGTGATTGTGCCCTAGTGAGTTAGGTTCATACTACTCTCAATTGAGTCATTGAAAGCTACCCCTATTGTCGGACCTTTGGATAAATCATTAGAGTAGGATTCTCAATCATTAAAGCAAAGTGCACTTTTTTTCTTTTAGGCATCTTCAAGTATCATTAACTTATTCAATAGCAGATAAAATCACGTTTTTACAATTCCAATTAATATCAAGAAATAATACAACAAAAAATTATTTGTAAACCAAAAATAACTTATAGTATCAATACTTATAACTAACAAGCACTGGCAGCCTATTTCTATCTTAAAAAAAAAATTATAATAGCTTTCAAAACTTTATTTTTTTCACAACAATTCTATAATTAATTTTTACGGGCAACTGCAGTCATCCCACATAGACATTAAAACAAATTTTAAGAGAAACAAGCAAAATTTGTACAATTTTTACCCAAATCAGTATTGTTTTTTAATTAACTACTCTTCCTACCTTAAAAATAATTAAAAAGTAGTCACAAATGAAGCCTAAAGCTTTAAATATTAAATTTTGAGAATGTAAACACAGCTGGTTTGAAATATCCGAGTCTAGTTGGTCCATTGTTTTCGAAACACCAAAAGGATAAAATGGAATCTATAACAAATGTAAAATGAAATTAGTAGTGTTCAAAAACCATACTCATACCTGCAACAGCACCTATGGTTTTACCCACATTTGGAAGGCTAAGCTCTGTTCGAACACCTTCTCCTCCAACAGTAGGACCCCAAGAAAAGGGTCCTGCACTCAAATCAATAAACATCCACCTTGAACAGTACACGCACAACCTTCAGTCAAAAAGACTCCAAATCAATGATGCAGACTTACAATTCATTCCATGAATGTACCTATTTGCTCCAATCCATGTGTCCGTGAGACATTCAGCCTGGAGGCCTGTAAAATCCCCTGACTTTAGCCCTTCTCGCAATAGATCACTCAAATCATCCTTCTTACCATACAACATCTACAACGTGAAAGACAGTGAGAAACTAATCTGGAATTACAATTGAGATCAGGTGCAGAGTGGAAGAAGATACCTGAATAACTTTGCTAGAAAGAAGTTCTACATCATCCTTTCCTTCAGTTGATGACGCAACATGAGTCAGGACATCTGAGCATTTTTTTGACCATTCAACCTGATCAAGAAAACAAGAGCAATAATCATGCATAACAACAGTTGAAGATCTAATGAATGACAAATATTGAAATAGTCGCCTTAGCACAACCGCATCATATACAGAATAACCTACATAGTAATTGTATTTCTTGAGAATTCAAACCACAGTAAAAGGCTATTTAACCGGCAATGAACAATAAAGGAAGCATTCACCCATCTTTTATGAATTACTACGCTGGGTCATTTAATAGAAAGTAATAATCAAGTAGCATAAGATAGGAAGGTGGTAGGTGGTAGACCTTATAACATGGAGTTCTTCATTATGTTAGGCAACAAGTGCATAAATTATTGGCTGAAATTATAATTTCAGCAATATAGAATCAGAGATAAAGAAGAATCTTGTGGCAAAACACTTAAAGAGCCTTTAGATTGAAGAAAACGGAAGAAGACAAATAAGATACAATGGATCTTCTATTGGAGAGAAAGATCCGGCTCTCCCTAATCTCTAGACATCACTAGAGCCCAAGCAAGAACTAAGAACCAAAGAAAATTCAGCAAAAACAGAGATAAAAAACTAACCCTAACCACCAAAACATACTTAAGCATACAATAATTAGGCAAATCCCAAAATATCCCCTTCTATTTAAATTTTCACTCCTAAATGCCCCCAAAATCCCCCTAATTAAGCTTGCGGATCCCACTAAGATTGGAGCGGCAATGATAGGGGTGGAACTCCCCTGTTCAACCTCTTGTAGACCTGGACCGGTCTTGGTTGGATCAACATATCAATACTCTGATAGGAAATACTTGATTCCAAGTATTTCCTAATCACTTTAGCCAAAGATCTCACAGCAAACTGCTGTCCACAGCAGGAAATCAGCCAAAACAGTGGGAAAACGCGAGAAAAACGATAGAAACACGAAGTAAGAACTTGTATTTTACTAGAAGATGAAAGGACAATAGCAAAGATACAAGGATCCTCTATTCGAGAGGAGGATCGCACTCTCCCAATCTCTAGAATTCAATCTAGAGCCCTAGCCACCAAAGAAGAACAAGAAAAACTTTCACAAAATATCTCATAACCCTAATCCCCCCTTTTCTCCCCTACTTAATGCATACAATTCAAATCTAAAACAAAAGGACCTAATTACCCTTGCTTCCCCTCCTTTTGGATCCAAGAAACAATTCAAACTTCAAGTGGACCCCACCCCTCTCCCTTCTTCTTGTGTCCGCCGGCCCTCCTGGCGTAGACGAACAAAGCCGGCCCAAGGGGCTGGGTCGGCTGGACCGGTCCTCCTTGGACCGGTCTAACATACTCCCTCCCAAAGAGTCACCTTATCCTCAAGGTGGAATGTGAAAAACTGAAGCTTTACCCTCCCGTATGGCTCCCATGTGGAATCATAGTCAGGTAGGTTCTTCCATTTAATCAACATCTCCTTGGGCTCTCCCTCTCCCTATCGTACCCCTTGAAGCTCTAGTAGTTCCAAATTCACCTCTAAATCCTCTGTCAGCGGCCCTGGTAAAATGAACTGGATGCATGATCCCCCACAACTCTCCTCAACTATGATATGTGTAACACAGGGTGTATGGAAAACGGTCGAGGGTAACTTCAAGCAATAGACCACTGCTTCAATCCTCTCCAACACCTCATATGGGCCAAAGTACCTCGAGGCTAGTTTTTCATTCCTTCTATTGGCTACTATCCTCTGTCTGTAGGGTCACAGCTTTAAAAATACCCTATCCCCAATGACAAACTGGATGTCATTCATATGTCAATCCACCTGCTTCTTCATAATTTGTTGAGCCCTTAGTAGATGTTTTTTTAACTCCTCCAACACCTTGCCCTTTCCTCCAGGTACTGCTCTGCTGAAGATACTGGTGTGCGACTCTGCCCAAAATGTACCAAATGTGGAGGGTCTCTCCCGTACAGCACTTTGAAAGGAGTCATCTGGGAGGCTAAGGGGTATGAAGTGTTATACCAGTATTTTGCCCATGTCAGCCACTTTTTCCATGCCCTAGGTGTTTTGGAGCAAAACACCATTAGTATGTCTCCAAGAGTTCACTACTTATGAGTTATGTCTACTCGTCTGTCTGGGGTGTTAAGTGGGGCTCCTCTTCAACATTGTCCCTTGTAGCCTGAACAGTTCCCTCCAAAAATGACTGAGGAACACCTTGTATTTATCAGATAATATAGACTTTGGTATCTCATGTAGCATGTCAACCTCCTGATAAATGCGGTCACTACTGTCAGGATGTCGTAGGGGATGAAGTGAGCGTACTTACTCAACCTATCAACTACCACCAGAGTCATAGTGAACCCTTCTGATCGAGGTAACCCATCAATAAAGTCCATGGTGACCTCCTCCCACACCCTGTTAGGTAGGGCAAATTATTAGGTCCGGTCACCGGACCTAAAAATAGGTTCGGACATCCAATTAAAACTTGCCACATCACCTGTGCTTTGACTGCGCTTTGACTACAATTTGACTGCGCTTTAACTGCACTTTAATTGCGCTTTGCCTGCGCTTTACCTGCGCTTTTGATGCGCTTAATTTAAAATAATATTTTATTAATATCTGAACCTATCTCCGCGTTCGGTGACTGGATGTAATAATTTGTCGTTATGTATAGCTAGGGGTTGAAGTAACCCCCTAGGAACCATGGCAATGTACTTATTCTGCTGGCACACCTCACATCTAGCCACCATCTCTTTCACATTCTTATACATCCCCTTCCAATACAGTTTTGATATTAATCTCATGTATGTCTTCTGCACACCAGAGTGACCTCCAACAGTGCTCCCGTGGAATTCTTACACCAGTTGTGGGACATAAACTAAGGTCCTACGCATCACAAACCTCCCCTGGTAAAACAATCTCTCCCCCTCTAGTAAGTATCCTGGGTAACTGTTCTCATCCTTCAGAATATGCTCTAATTTTTCACAACTCCTCATCCTGCATACTCTCATCCTTGATAGCCCCTCAATCCAGCATTAGTGGTATCGACATAGCCAACTCTTGGAGCTCCCCCATGCACCTGGACAAGGCATCCACCACCTTGTTCTCTAATCCTGGCTTATAATGAATCTCAAAATCATTGTCTAATAGCTTTGACAACCATCTCTGATACTCAATCATCATCCCTTGCTCCAACATGAACTTTAAGCTCCTCTGGTCCATCCTAATAATGAAATGTTGACCCAACAAGCATGATCGTCACTTCTGAATGGCTACCACAATAGCCATCAATTCCCTCTCATAGACTGACTTCAACCTAGCTCAGGCTGTCAACACTTGGCTGAAGTAGACTATGGGTCTGTGATTCTGCATGAGCACGGCCCCCAACCCATATCCTGATGCATCCGTCTCCACCACAACAATCTAACTAAAATATGATAGGGCCAAAACCGGTGTTGTGGTCATGACTTTCTTCAGTCTCTCAAAGGCTCATGTAGCTGCATCTCCCCACAAGAAGTTATCCTTCTTTAGTTACTTAGTTAATGGCCAATTTATGGTGTTATATCCTCTCACAAATTTCCTATAGTACCCCGTTAAGAACGTGGTGGTCATCCTGTACGAACCTCCTGAATTACTACCTCTGGCCCCCTTTTAGGTGTTTATGGTCCTCCACTAACTGCGCCAGCTCCATAGCCTCTCCCAAGTCATGAGGCTTCATCACTCTAACTGTCATCGACATCTTTGGTTTGAGTTCCTTCATGAAGTTCCCCTCTAACACCATTTCAAAAAAATGGTCCAATCAGCTAGCAAGGTACTCGAAACTCTCCCGGCACTCTACCACTGAAACATCCTGTGTCAGGGCAAAAAACTGCTCGAAGAAGTCTCCTCCCCTGATGGTTTGGAAACTGTTGACCAATGTATAATACCAAATCATACCTCTGCTCCGTTGGATCCAGAAATCCCGCTCAAAACCTGCTGAAATGTCAGTTGTTCGGCGCTGGCAGAGCTGATTCGCGTCTCCTCGCACAAATCCTGCGCGAATCCTGCGACGATAACCTCGATCCCACTCCCATTCTCGCCTTTAAATATCGAGCAAACGAAGTAGAAGCTCTCGGTTCCTTTCGACACTCCCCCCATACGAAACCTCTGCTCCGATCAGAACCCGAACTCCACCTCTTCCGCTGCTCGACACACGACTCCCCTTCCGCTCTCTGCTTCTCTGACCTCCACACCAGCGATCGACCCTCCTCCGACCAAATCTCCTCTACCCGTCCAAGCCTTGATCCCGACCGACCTCCTCCTCTCTACCTGAGCCGCTCGATCCCGATCTCCAGCCGACGCCAAACCCCGACCCTTGCCCGATCTCCTCTTCCTGTGCCGACTCCAACCCGAGAGAGAGAGAGAGAGAGAGAGAGAGAGAGAGAGAGAAGAGAGCAATCCCATACCTCCATTCCAAGTCGAAACCTCCTCTCCTACCCGACTCCACTTCTCTGGACGGGATCCCCCTCTGCCCGCTGGATTGGAAGTTGCGGCATTTTGATCGAAGTAACCACGGGAGCTCACTTACTGTAAAGGTAACTTCTCCCTCACGCGCTCTTCTCGGCCAAATCCCGTGCCCGCCGAGCCAGAGAGGAAGAGGGAGGTGGTTTTCTTTGCTTTTATTATTATTATTATTATTA